AAGCGCAAACAGTGCAAGAGCTGATCACTGCCCTATAAGCCTTTCTATATTCACTGTTTCCTTTTGAAGTGTTTGGAGCTGGTTTCTTTTATAGAAGGGGCATAGGCAGTCAATAAGATCATGTGTACATTGCATATCCCCAAGATTACACTGTATACCAAGATAATACAGCTTGTTCTTTGAGTAAGTTATTTGATGTTAGTAAATCTGACTGACTACTTCTTTGGCACTGTTTGAACTCTAGTAGTAGCCACAATGCTGGATCAGAACACTTTCACTCTGTGCCTCTGGCTTTCTCCAGGCTTGCACAGGCTTCTAATATGGTTTTAAAGATTGCACCACCAAAGGTTTCCATAAAAAGAAATCTGAGTTTTTAAAGAAGCTGACATCCATGTCAGATAAATTCTGTCTTTGTGCATTAGAATTAAGGATGGCTTGAATTCATGCATTGGAGGCCTTGGTGTGGTTCACCTAAGAAGAAAGCAGTGCTGTATGAATGGCTCTGATGTCCAGAAGTCTGTACAAATTCATGAATAAGCAGATCTACAAGATATGGGCTAAGCTCTCTTTACAGATTATTTCAGGAGAAGATGTACGTTTATTGTAGAGACACAGCACCAGGCAATCCTTCATATCTCGTATTTCATCATATCCCATCTGTCAAAGGGAGACTTCATACCTTCGCTAGAAACTAGGCATAATCCAGGGTTGGTTGCAAGGATTTTGTAAAGCTGATGTGGGATGGTGCAAATGGAGCACTTAGAAAAATGCATCCTCCTTTGTACACCAAAGATCCAAATTTTCCTGTCCCAAGCATACGGTATACAGAGGATATAAGCTATATTTTCCCATGCATCTCAGACATGCATATTAATATGAAATGAACGAGGAAACATGACTTTCAAGGAATGTAGGAGTGGGACAACTACCCAGAAAGAGAGATATCAAAAATTCACACATAGAGGAACTATTGAAGTTTATCAATAGCTCTCTTACCTCTACATCCCTGGAGCAAAGATATGGGGATGAGATGCATAGGAAGATGGAAAGTAAAACAGTCTGGGTCTGGAATGCACTTGCATAGACATTCCATATGGGGAAAGAATGGAATAGAGAAGAACTGAGCTCCCTTCTGCCTTCTGCTGTTCTACGACTATTTGGGTCATAATGAATGACTAATGAGAAATTTCTGACAATGAGAACAATGAAACAGTGGAACAGCTTGCCTTCAGAGTTGTGGGTGCTCCATCACTGGAGGCTTTTAAGAATAGATTGGACAATCATTTGTCTGAAATGGTCTAGGGTCTCCTACTTGATCAGGAGGCTGGACCTAGAAGACCGCTGAGGTCCATTCCAACTCTGTTGTTCAGTTATTCTGAATTACTATCTCAGCAGTTCTAATCCATGTGTGATCTGCCTTACTACAGATTTGCTACTCACTTAACAGAGAATTAAAAGCTTACAACCAAAACAAATGGAGGAAAAGAAAATGGATGGCTATGGTTGGCGGAGAGAGCAAATTCCCAATAACTTTTGCATAGACCATTATTGACTTAGATTGGCCTTGCCCAACCAAGCATTGCCCGAGACCTGACAGTCTCAGCCCATGCCACTCTCAGCCCAGCTGTGCCAGGTTGGGGAAAATGGACAGATTCCTAGGAAGGCACTTTTGTTGTTGTTATTGTTGTTTGGGAAATTCTGAGCTTGGCTATTCCAATTTACATAGCAGCTGGTCACACAAGCAGGTACAATAGGAGAGGGAGAAAGGGCGAGGATTAATTAGGATATGCCCAGGTTTCATATCCACAACCTTAAAACGTCTCTGGGAACATGAAACCATGTGTGCACAAGTTGCGGATGTTTGTGTGCATGGAAGAGAAAGGATGGGCTGGAAGCCCTGGGATGTGTGTAATTTGTAAAGATTCGTGCTGTGAGGTAGGTGTGTGCCTGTATATCTTCTGGAGCTTTCATTCTCACATCCCAATCTCTCTCCCCCTGCTGCTCTGAAATAGCAGCTGGGATAAGGGGTCATGAATATTTCACAAGGATAATTACCTGACCTGGAAAGACTCAGCCTGCTGGAGTCTTGCTGGCAGATTTAATGGCACTTTCCTCCCGATTCACAGCTCAGCATGGCCCTTACTGCAGCCTTGGCCTTAGTGTGCAACCCCCTGCCAATTAACCCTAACTTCAGCTGACCCACTCATTCCCAGCATAACCCCCTCCCCAACACTGTGGAGTAATTCTGCAGATCATCCTGCCTACACACAACCCTCCCCGACCAACCTCCGTTCTCCTCCCTCTCCCATTTCTAAAATCCTGGTAATAATCTGCTCTCTGGTTAACTCTTGCCCGCAGCCTGAAGCATATATGTAGATATGTCCGTGAGCATGCAAAGAGACACCCTGCACCTGTATGCTCACATTTAACTGACTACTAGCAGACAAGGGCTAAAAATAGCTCTCTCTTCCAGCTCTCCTCTCTCTCCCTTGTGTGAAGTTAAATTAAGAAAGCCGCCCTTAGACTAGGAGGATACATGCTCTTCCTGCCATTTCAGCCCAAGTGCCAACAACTCTGCCCTTTTCCACATGCTGAAAAAGGCCCTTTCCAGCCTTCCCGCTCTGCCACACTTTGCAGTCCCCGGAAGATGATAAAGCACCAGAAACCCTGGTGCCAGCCATAAAACCAGCAGATCCCTCTAGATCCATAGGTCAGGGCTCTATTTATTTTAGAAAGCACTGGATCTCTTCGCAAAACACACTAAGCTGCAGCATATTTTGAAAACTCAGAACAAATCTCATAGAGCAGATAGGATGTTGGATTTAGACTCTCTTCCTGTTGGCAAACACAGAGAAGGAAAGAAATAGAAAAAAAATGTTTTTTTAATATATTGTGTTGCCAAAAAGTAAAGGCAAATAAACAAAATAAATCAAGCAAAACAAATTTTAAAACAAAAGAAAAAACTGTATGAGACGTGCCAACACAGAACATTTTCAAAGTAACAACTCATTTAAAGGACAATTTCTGTTCCATTTGAATTATTGGTGACAGACTTTCTTCTTTAGAATGAGAACAATATTCCTGTATATTTTTTAATATGTGGGTCCCAGAAAGAATTCTGCATAACCAGAAAACAAGAGATCAGGAGTAAAAAAAAACATTACAGTGGTACCTTGGTACTCATTGTTAATTGGTTCTGGGGGCACAATGAGTACCAAAAATGATGAGTACCAAACAATTTTTTCCCCATAAGGAGTAATGTAGTGAGTCAAAAGGCAGCCAATACCGACAGGTTCTAGCTTGTGCGTTGAGTACCAAACAAAAGTTTTGTGTCAAAATGCGTTGAGTACCAAATTCAAAGCAGTTGAGTACAAGGTACCACTGTATTCTGAACATCATTTTATGATCAGTCCTACGCTAGACAAGGCTCTGCATTGGCCCTGGAGAATGTTTTCTTCTATGAAAGAAAGAATAACTGAATGACCTGAAAAATGAACACTAGCGCCACTTACAACTCTGAATCTTGGCTAACACTCATAGGGATCCTTGCAATGGCTTTCCATCTTATTCAGATGGCATATTTCCACCTGACACCATAACGAGTGGGCTGGTTTTGAAGATGTTATTTTTAAGACTCTGAGTGAAGGTCTTCCATGCTGCTTCTACCGACTTAATCTCACACTAGACCAGTGGTTCTTAATCTGTGGGTAGGGACCCCATTTGGGGTCGAACGACCATTTCACGGGGGTCACCAAACAATGCAGTCCATCATTTTTTCCCCTTTTCCTTAGCTGTGCTACTTCCTTTTATTCTATTGGCTTTTGAAAGCCAATAGAATATACTCTCTTGAATAGAGTCTAATTCTATTGGCTTTCAAAAGCCAATAGGAATTGTCCAGGCTGTCTCTGCCCTGCTGAGCCCGCCAAAAGTCCCATTCTGCAAACAGTGCTGCACCAGTTGAGTAGTCCTCAACTTACAACCCGTCGAGTAGTCCTCGACTTACGACTGGTTGGGGGTCGCGGCATTAAAAAGGTTGAGAACCACTGCACTAGACTCTATCCTTCTTCTTTTCCAACTAGACCTAACATTTTGCAACACACTTCCAGGAGAGTATTGGTTTTTTTCCCCCCATGGCTGCCATGGGACTGGCCAAGGAATGTCTGTGTTCCCAGCACTCCCAACAACTTCTTCCCCAAAGGGCAAATTAAGGGTGACCAAAGCTTTAAAATTAAGGCATTTTAATTGTTGCGTTCTGTATTATGTAAACCACTGAAATATTTGTGTTCAAAGGCAGCATAATTAGGCTACTCATTTAGTAGTTTGATCTGATAATGTGGGGGGGGGGGGGACAATTTCAATCTAAGTCTGCCACCACAGTTATACTAACTTATTTGCTGACCAATTTCTAGCACACTTAGAAATAGTCTGGTCAGAAATCTCCAGAATCTCTTCAGTTGAAGCTGGCTTCAATGACTACATTATTTTTAGGCATACCATTTCACAAAGTAAACACATAACTGCAGGAACCATTTGCATTATAGAAGTGTACATCAGGGAGTCAGGCTCATGTGGGTTCTTTTTAGAGTGTGTATCCTTTGGCAAAGCTCGGTTACAGTCTTGATCTCAGGAAAAATAGTTGCAATAATGTGTGTTTTGAATAAGTGAAAAGCCCAGGTAACTTCACTGTGATTTTTTTTTCAGCAGACCAAGGGCATTGGACTGGATGGGAAGGTATTTCAGCTGATACCAATACAAGAATGGGTAGTGGGGAAAATGTGGATAGGAAAGATGCTTTCCTTTCAAGCTACTTTCTGGGTTATTAACCAGGATAGAATGTTTAAGCAGCTTAGTTCACAAAACAGTGAATTGTTGTGCATTACATTGTTCATTTGTTTGAGTGACTAAGTTGTTCCACCCATATCAAAATAGTTTAATAATTTTCTAACTGACCATTGTGGTAAAAGGGGAGACATGGAGGCACCAGAGGAAAGTCACACCCATCAAAATTAAGACCATTTTTTATGAATAAAGATCAATTCACATGAATTTATCATCTGATTGCAACCTTTCTCTAAAGATTTAATTACAGAAGTGAAGGGACTGCAAAAATCGTTAAATCCAGCCTTCTCCAGCTTGGTGCCTTCTTATGTTTGCTCATACTTCCTATCGAACCAAGTAGATATAACCAATGATCATGCTGGCTGAAGATGTTGGGAGTTTTATTTCAAGTTGTCTGGATGTCACTGAATTGGGGAAGGCAGGTTTGAACTAACTGCTTGTTAGTGCCGAAACCCATTGTTAAGGGTATTGGATATGGATTACTGAGAAGCTGATCTACTTGAGTCATCCAACAATTTCCGGTTTCAATAGCCAGTGGAGCAAACTTTCATCATCACACTCCTATCAATTAAGATGATCAACATTACAATTAAGTGTGTGAATTGCTCCCCTGGGGTCCCCTCAAATAATTAAAAAACACACACCAGATAATAAGAAGTCAAGAGTGATCAGAGCCCCAAATTTTGATTATGTTCTTTAGTTCTGGAAGAGGACACGGTATCCTTTAGTTGAGGGGTCCTATCCTATGAGACAGAGCAGGCACTTATATGCATGAAAGGATATTGTTAAAAGAGTTGAGGCTCTGAAAAAAGAGGTCCTCATCCATAGTTACTTCTCATGCACAGAAGAGATCCTTGCCCTGTAGAGGATATGGAGACCACAGAAGGCTCCTTCTACACTCGAGAAGCAGTAGGATTTAAGGAACGTCTCTATTAGGAGAGTTTTGCAACACTCTAAAAATAAAAAAATGGATTGCCCTTGCCATATGTTCATAAAATATAACCGGTGCCACATAGAAAGTGGCTTCAAGTCTCACAATTGGCCAGAAAGCAGCAGCAGTAACAGACCTAGTCAGTCTTCCTTTACCCCTGGGTTAGGGTGAAGGTGAATCACTTTGGCCTCAGCTAAGTGCTGGGTAGGGATCCAGCCTCCCGCAGTCTCAAAAGACTCTACTAGCAATCAGTAGAATAACCACCTCCATTGTCAAAACTATGAAAGTTCCAACAGAATGAATAGACAGGCAAGGAGAAATGACCGGAAGCCAATCCTGATTGCTCCAGAGTCCAGAGAAGAACAAGAAGTTCCTAGGCATCCATTTTTCAGTTGGCTTCCTTCTCCATTACCATAACTCCCCCAATGGTCATCTTCTGTAGGTGGATCATACTTGGAGCTCTGGATGTCATTGGCTGGAACATCCCTATAGAAAGAGGAAGGATCGGCAGGAGGGGATCCTCCAAGGCCATAGAGATGATTAGATGAGCCATTGGGGTGAGGGTGAGGGTGTGGATGGGGGTGAGGGCGGGGGCGGGGGTGAGGATGGGGGTGAGCTGGTCCACTCTCCCATTCAGGCATACAGCTCCAGTCAAACTCAATAGGATGATGGTTGGTTGGAGGGCAGCCTTGAAAGACTGCTTCGTTCAGATAGCGCATGTCATGTCCCTTGCGTTCTGCAGGAGAGGCGCATATGACGTCTGAGATGGAGACCTGCGTGCGCTGGAACCAGGACCAGAGGGAGTAGGCACGGCAGTCACAGGCCCAGGGATTGTTGTTGAGGCGCAGAAACTCCAGGGAGGGCAAATCTGAGAGGGTTTCTCCAGACACAGTTGTCAGGCTATTGTTGAACAAATATAGAATGGTAAGCTTGCCCAAATCACGAAAAGCCCACGTAGGGATTGTGTGCAGGTGATTCCGGTGCAGCAACAGGCGGTCTAATCCAGACAGGCCACGGAAGACGTTCTCTGAGAGCTTCCAAATTTTGTTCCCATGCAGAAAAAGGTGGCTCAGATTAGCTAAATCCACAAAAAGGTCGTCCTGGGAAATAAAGAACGAACGCTGTGAAATTCTGCTTTCGTAAAATGGCTCACCTGAGTGGCCTCTCCTATCCCTGAAACACTGCGAACTCACATTTATGGCCCCACATCCCAGACTTTTCAGCCAACTTTCCCCAGCTTCCACCCTGCTTCAGTCTCCTGTCGCATGGGAGCTTGACATATTTTTATTACATCGATCCTCGTTCTTTAATGTCCCCTAGCACAAGAGAGAAACGTTCTCCCTCCACATACAACCAACATTGTCTCCTCCAACTGAGTAAGGCATAATCTGTAAATGCATTTTTACTGCTGCAGGGCCAGACTGCAGTTTCTCCACTCTTAAGCCACAGCGCCTGCAGCCGGATAGGTGTGTGGTTTTAGAGTGAGCCGCTGGCAGGGCCTGGGCCTGGGCCTTTCGGGATGATCCGGCAAGAAGATGAAGCTTGAGAGCCACACCAGTTCTTTGCCAGTTTTCAGGAAAAATTGGGAGGGGGTATTAGACTCTTGGGAGATATTTCAAACATTAAATAATTTTCATATTATTCTTACGAAATAAATCCCTCATGTCATTTCCCCCCCCCCCCGCTCTGCCAAATTAGCTCTCTTCCCACCTATTTTACTCAACACCCAGAAGCCACATTTTCTTCAGATTCCATTCCCCCCCCCACACACACACACACACTTCCCAGCTACATAGTTTCAGAAACTTTTTGGGCAAAAGCCAAGCTCATTTTTGCAAGAGTCCAACATCTTGCAGGTGGGGAAGGATAACCATAAGGGAAGGAGGATCACTTCTCTCTGCCCCACTGCCTTCTAGAGTGGAGCAGGATAATTTATGGCTCACGGGCTGCATATAGTTCCTTTCAGGGCGGCGTTCCCTTCATGACTTTCTGCCTTGATCCTGCCCCTGTCTTTTAATCAGTTATGCATATGTATTTTGGAGTTTGGCCTTCTGCCTGAGAAAAGATTTCCCAACCCTGCCCATGCTAGGCCAGATTCAGCAGATTGCTCACCTGTAGGCAAAGCAGGTTGTTTTCCTGAAGATAGAGGTATTGGAGGCTGTAAAGATTGCGGAAGATAGTGTTTGGGAGGCTGCTCAGCTGACAGCGATAAAGGTGCAAAGACTGCAGCCGCTCAAGTCCACGGAAAGTATCGGGTTCAAGGGTGCGCAAATGGCGGTTGTCCCCCAGATCCAGCTCCTCCAGAACCTGGAGATGTCGAAAAGTGCCAGGCTGGATGGAAGAGATATTGTTGGAGTAGAGCCACAAGGTGATGAGGCTGGGCCCAAACATTCCAGGTCTCAGGGTCCCAATCAGGTTGTTTTGTAGAAAGAGGCGCTGGGCATTCGGGGGCAGTATCCGTGGCACAGAGGAGAAGTTATTAGCCTGGCAGCTCACGGTGGGTGGGGAAAAGTAGCAGGTGCAAAGCATGGGACACATGGAAGAGCCAAAGGGCAAGGTCAACAGCAGGAGGAAGGTAGGAGCCAAGCCTGCAAGAGAAGAACACGGATTAAGGCTCTTTGCTTCCCCAGGAATCTGTGAAGGTGGAATAGCATCACAGTGCTCATTCCCCTTCATTCATTGATCATATGAGAAAGCTATCTAAATGGTACATGGTATTATCTCATTATAGTAGCTCCATTAAATACACTCCAGTGGGCTCAATTATTAAGTTTTCAATGAAATTTTAAGCGATCAGAATAGATTGGCAACATTGTACTCTAGACAACTTCCTTTTTGTAGATATTTTTTAAAAATCTGTTGCCAATTACATATTCCAGCTCTTACCTTTGGCCTCTGAGTACTGACTACTGTTTTAATTGAATTGCAAGGGAGCCAAAGCCGCTGCCCCCCCTCCAACCCCATTTTCTAAGAGCTTGGCTGTAGAGAGAAACATACTCAACCGTGAGATTTACAAAGCTGGCAAACATGCGAGGCATAATCCCACGTGAGAAAGCACGCCTGTGTATGCACTTCGCCAGGCAAGCCAAGCAAAGGTTTGGCCATGCATGTCTATTCACAGATGGTCTCACATGAGCACTCCCCGTGCACGTGTGCATGGTTCCCTACCTCTGTATGCATGTGCGTGGGTGGTGTGACGTGATGAACGAGTAACACAAGCTGCCAATGCTGTTTCAGTAGTTCACACCACCTCCACGCAAGTCCTCTTCTCTTCCCACTTCCTTCCAGCCTCCCATCCCTTTCTGAAAAGCACCCCACAAAAGCAGGAGCTTTTCAAACCAGAACTGGAGATCTGAACTCAGCCCTGTTCTGAGTTCAGCACCCTCAGCTTCAAACTGCGGGAAAGTTCCTTCAGCAAGACACACGTATTACATGCCCTTTTATTTTTAATCCTTCTATTCTGTGGGGAAAAAGCTCCCACTGATGGAGTGTGATGGCTCGCAGCTACTCCAGGAGTAGGGATTCCATTGGGAGAGGGAGGGAGGGAGGGAGGGCTGAAGCATTGTCTCTACTTCGTTTTTAGGCTATTTCCCTTGAAATGGATATGGCGACTCTCCTCTTTCTGCTGGCAGAATTCAGCTGAAATGGGAGGCCTGAAAAAGGGAATTCTTACCTGGCAAGGCATAAGCTGGCAGCCCCTCAGCCTGGCCCTCAAAAGGGCTCCATCTATTCTGTACTTATCCTTCTTCCCCTTGTTGTGCGGCAAAACTGTAAGCTCGGGTTTTACAATGACCCAGTTACAGTAGAAGCAACATGCCAGAGGAGCCAGGCGGTACGAACACTAGGCCAAAGGGAGCTCTCCTGCCAGCTGCTGACTGCCACCAAAGTAAGACGCCACTGCCCCGGCACTGTGATAAGGGGAGAGAATCTGCTTCTCTGTTTCTCTCCCCCCCACCCCACCCCACTCCTCTTGAAACCACCTCCCTTCTCATATGTTAACCGAGTGGAAAGAAATCTTCACAGACACCGTGTGGATGATAGCCATTTCCTCTAATAACGGCAGGCCGGTTTTCCCTCCAGGGAAAAGACAGCCTGGGAGAGAAACAAAGCCTTTCTCTTGAGCCTGGGGAAGGGAGCTGCACGGTTAATGTTGACTATCTCTGGACTCTTCTCTGGTGCGATGCAAGCAACGGCTGTAACCCAAGGAGTCTCATCCATAATTCAGGCCTGTGGCTTTCGCTGGAGCTTGGGCTGAAAAAAGAGGAGGGGAAGAAATGGGAAGCTTCTCCTTTCTCCCCATAAAAGCTCTCTGGCCATCCTCTGGGTGAAAAGCATCTATAGATCCACTGGAGCAGATGCTGATGACCCCTCCTGCTTCCTTGTGACCCAAATAGGCCCACATTATTTTATTTCCTATAATATTTTATAGGCATTTGAGATGGCCCGTTCACAATTCATTTTTAAGGCTCCATCCCATTGCTGTCTTAGTGGTCACTCAAAAATGTCTTCCTGGAGTTCCTCAACACAAAACAAAAATTAAGATAATCAGACCGGTTCAAGCAGAGTCCATTGGATTGAAAAGTGATGCTACTGATCTGTTTCTAACGCACCATATAAGGGATGGTCCTGCTCTCAACTCTAATTCTGATCGTGGATGTCCTGTAATCCTTATACAAGCCAAGATAGGCCTTAATGTGTGCATTATGCATTTGCCCGGAAACTGCTTTTGTAGAGATAAAAATCCTTGATCCTCAGAAGAAAAATTTCACTCATTAACCTCGTAAGATGATTAGAGTTTGCAAGTCATGTTAAAACAAGCCCTTCAGCCTCTTCTAGCTTTTAGCCACATTGCTATGATGAATTACAACTCCATGCAAAAGGCAGCAGGAACAAACTCACTCTGTCATGAAGAGGAAGCAGCAGCTTCTGACAGAGGAATCCTCCTCACCTCCAACTCCAGGTGTCCCAAATGCAAGGACTCCACACACAATTGTTTATCCTTCAGGAAGCCAAGCACATCCTGGCAAGCAAACAATTGAAGGTCAATTGAATGGAAGGGAGAAGACTCTGGAGCAAAACTGCTTAAGTTGCTAACTGGAGCCAGGTGTGTAGTTCTGTATCTCAATTAGACACCTTAGGAACAATGCAACACTCCAATGGGAGGGAATTGGGGCTATGTGCTTGACAAACTAGAAAGAGTTACAAAATTAGTATCATAGAGGTCCATCGACACGAGTAGGTGATAACTGTGCGCACTTCCATTGGCTCCATTTATATCCCGAGATGTAGGAGTAAAATAAACTCTAGCAGATGCGTTTGCTAACCCAAGGAAGAAGGAGAGGATTAGCAAATGTTCAAATTCTACAAAAGGACTTCCTAACTACATAAAAGTAACCATCATCTGGCCGGGCATACTTATTGTAGAAAATAGCACTGTTAAATGGAGAGGAAAGGAAAGGAATCAGCCTGTCCATGTTGTCCTGCATTCTAACAGTGTTTCCCCAAAGATCAGGTTAATGTATAGAATAGGAGAAAGAGGTTACTCACATCCCCCCCCCTCTCCTTTCGTTCTCCCCTATTTAATAATCTGTGATGAAATGAGACTGGTTCTTTACCTGCCACGCTTGGGTTTGTCTTCATCTTCCTGAAGGAATTCCTTCTGGTATCTGCAGGTTTCATTCTGAAAATCCTGACTATACTTAAAGGGTCTTTAAATATTTTTATTGCTTTCCTTGCATTCCTAAATCCTGGCTTTGAACTCATCCCTGTCATTCTTCCCGGCAACATTTCCTTCATCCTGGAGGTTTTTTTGGTTTTTTTTTTTTTTTAGTTGATGCCAGATCAGAATTCAATATGTGCCAGTGGCTGTATGTGATAATGAGCCAGGGATGAGGCGTTCTTCCATCTTAACACTAGAACCTTCTTTAACAATGAAGAATTTTCATTCACACCACTGCACTTCTATTCTTTGCCACCATTCATTGCCTACAACCTTTTTACAGTGACAACATCAGCAGCTGGAGGCTGATGGGCCAGATCAGGTCTCTCTCTCTCTATAGAAAAGAGTGATGCACCAAAGTGAGCAATGGGTCACTTGAAAAAAAAATGCAAAGAAAGATTTTAGCTATCGCTTATTATTCCATTTTCAAGGGAACCCTCAAGTCCCTCGGGTCTCTGAAGAAAACTTAACAGTTGTCAGGACTTTAAAATCCATTTTCTGGAGTGTTGCTATTAATGTTTCCTGAAGTTGTGAAAGATTTCTCAATATCCAAATGGATCCTTCAGTGGACAACCCAAACAGTTATGCTCAACTTTAGCAAAATCCCTTTAGAAATCACACTAGGCCCAGTGAATCAACAAAGTCCATCCTGAAAAGATCAACATAAGTAGCTGAGGCATCTACTGGTTTCAGTACAGCCTGCGGCAGAGGACTCTGGCACCAAGTGGGTCAGAGCTGAACCTCTGTTCTTCATCTGACTGGTGTGAAAGCAAAAATGATAACTCAGGCATGAGGATAAAGGTGGTGCTTTTGAGAGAGAGAGGCTGGCAGAAGCAGGAGTGACATGGCTGGTGACGTGAATGAAGCCAAACTCTTTTTGCGTCCATAATTTGTCACCCCTCAAATAAGCAGCTGCCTGTTGTTGTGTAACCCATTGAAGACCAGGCTATAAAAGGCAAGGAACGGAGCTGAGCACAAAATTGAATCTTTCCTCCAGGTGGGCTCGTGTATTGTATCTTTAAACTCTGGTCCTCCCTATGGCCGCTAATGGGCTTACATACTGTCCAGGCAATGGCTGTCAATGCATTTGCAGCACTTTCCTTTCCTTGGCTTCTGCCTTACTCTGTACTCTTTGGCCTTTTTTTTTTAATGAATTAAGCGATGCAGAGCATCTTTCTGAACTAGGAAACCCATCACAGGGAAGATTTCCTACATAAACACAGCCTGAGATCCCCACCGGCTCTCTCTCAATGCTGCTAAGAAGTGCTCCCCCCCCCACCCCATCCTCCAATATTACTTTTAAGAATGCACACTTCACTTTCTCGGCGCGAGCCACCCTGCACCCTCGCTCTCTCTCGCAGGCTCGGCGAGGCTTTAGAGGCGATCCACGGCGGCGGGCGAGTTCTCCCTCCGCCTCTGGATCTACGCAGCTGAGGCGGAGAAAGGAGAACCCGAGGCCCGGCCCTGCCCTGCCCTGCCCTGCCTCCCCCCTCCCGCGCTTTGCTCCCGCTGCGGTCGAGCTCCTGCCGTGTGACGGCAGAGACCGGATCCGGGCTCCGCCGTGCTTTCAGAACGGCCCTTCCGCCCGAGGCCCGCAGCTCTCGTCTGAAAACAGCGCCCGGAGGTTTCCCGCTGAGCGCACCGGGGGCAGGAGGCTGGGCAGGCTCCGATGGGGCAGGGAGGATCTTCCCTCTCGAGAGGCGCCCGCCTCCTCCCAGCGGCTCTGACAAGGGCTAGAAGGGCTCCCCGTTCCTGCCCCAACTCGATCCATTCGCCAGGCTCCCCGCCAGCTCTTTCGCGGCGCTAAACAGCCCCCCCCTTTTCCTCCCCCCCACGCCAGGTCCCGCCGCTTTCCCGCTCCACGCTGTCTCTCCCTCTCCAGCAAACCGAACCGATCCAACTCCTCGCCCCGAAAAAGCCACCTGCCCCGGACGCGGTAGCCGGAGCGGACCCGGCTCTCCCTTACCGTACAGAGTGGATCCTAGACGGAGCAGCATGGTGCCAGGCAGATCTAGCGGACGGAGTGGCAGCAGAAGAGTCAGGAAAAAAAAAAAAAAAAAAAAGAGGGGCGGCAGAAGCTCCGGAGAAGAATGAAGAGACCGAGAGAGCAGGAGGAGGAGGAGGAGGAAGAGAGGAGGAGGAGGAGGAGGAGGCGGAGACAGGGAGGGGCGCGGCGGGGGAGCTCGTGGTCGGTCGAATTCCTGGCGGAATCGTTCCGAGTCTCCCCTAGCGAGGCTCCTGCCGGACGAAGCGCAGACCAACCGCTCGTCGTCGGCTCAGTTCTTCACAATCTCAGCGCCACCCGCGGGAACTCATGGCCGGCCGGGACCGACCATGAGTTCCTTTACCCTCCGTTTCTCCGGCGGGAACTGCCGGACGGAGGTTCCATCTCGGGGGAGCCGACCGGGAACATTGGCTCGAGCTGGCTAGGCGCACCTCCGCGGCTCAGCCGACACACCGCGAAAGGGAGGGGAGGGAGGCAGGCGGCGGCGCCTTATTCTCGGGGCCGGCCCGGGCTCCGCCCTCTCCGCCGCTGCCTTAACCCTTTCCAGAACGGGAGGGCCCTCCTCGCCCACTCCCGAATAGGCCACCGGCGCGCTAGCTCGCCGGTCCGCCCGCCGCCCGCCCTGCGGTGAGCCCTCCTCCAGCCCACGCGCCTCGCCCCTCCTTTCAGGCGTCATCGCGTCTGGGCCCCGGGTGGGTTGAATTCCCTGCCCTTTTGCCAAAAGCAGAAAGGAACGGCGCGTATACACAACCTTTTGGCCTTCGGCATTTATTAATCCGGATCAATTCAGTCAGGCATTGGCATCTCAGTCTATCGTTTCAGCACTGGCTAGAAATAAACCCGATCGATTTCGGAAATTGCAATCCTGCTAGCCGGAGTCATTGCCTCGCGCCTCAGTGGGACTTAATGTCGTTGCTGAATGGGCTGATTAACTAAAAGTTAAGGGATCCTTGAGATGCAGTAGAAAAATCTGAGCATGCGCCTCAAGCACACCTGTTTCACTGCTCCAAAAAGCGGGGTTCCGTCGATCGGGAGAAGCGAAGACTTGAAGTGGGTGTGCTCTGAATTCAAGTTTTAGCCAGGCTCTTAGGAAGGGGGACGGCCCGGAAACTTTTCCTGGCAAAGGCCAAGTGAAAATGAGGAGGAGGGGCGTTCAATGTGGTGAGAAATCTCAGCTGGGAAAATGAGGCAAGTGCGTGAATACCTCCCCTACATCGCACAGACTCCCGCTTGTCCCACCGAAATGAAAGATTATATCTTTGAGAACACTGGCATCGGATGTGAGTTGGAGTTGGAGCAACCAGAGCTAGCGATGTATTACAATTAGATAAATGGGAATGAAAGGTTCCGCTTTCCCGAGGAGGGCTATTTGCAGAACGCCTCCTCCTGGTCCTTCCTACTTCCATTGCCAGAAGACCGAAGCGATGAAGGATTGTAGCTAAAATTCTAGAGTTACTAAAGTAGAAATTTTTTTTTTAAAAAAAATGCGTGGTCGTTTTGCAGAGAGGAGCAGAGCAGTTCCGTGCGGTAGGTGGACCCTCCTGGGCCCTCCGGATGGTGCTGAAGGACAGCTCCCGAGGAAGACCGCCTTCCCACTGGCCATTTTGATGGAGACTGCTGGGAGTTGTCGATCTATATACAGCTTCGGGAGAGCTGCGTGTTCCCCTCTAATGTGAAACCCGGGGGCCTCCTGAAAATGCGAGGAAACGCTCTGTTTCCATTCGCTTCCAGTTGGTTGCTCGCAACTTTTCGCATTGAAGTTCCACATCCGATAATATTCACTTGCAGCGCGCGATCCTCGCTTTCTTATGGGAAGAAAACCCAGTGGGATTCCTGCCCAGAATAGGTGTGTTTCTCTTCAGGACGTGTTTCTCTACTTCTCTGCTAGAAATTCCTATAGCGGTTGGTTTATGAAGGAAGAAGGAGCGAGGGAGGGGCTTCTCCTGGCATCAGCTGTCAAAGACCTGCCTATCCAGAAAGCAAAGGCTCGCCCTGCCGATGGACAACCCCGATGCCCAGGCATAACTTTTTCGTGGAGCGAGCGCTGGGTTGCAGTGCAACGCTTCCTCTTGCGGGATTCTGCCTTAAAATTGTCAAGGTTGAGAAACACTGATATAAGGGATCATATTTTAGCCAAATAGAAAGAAGCACACGGTGGGAGGTGGATGAGTCCCAGTTTGGGGGGAAAAAAAAATCATTAGGCTTGCTCTCTCTTCCCTGATCCAGGTTGAACCGAATTATTCATGGAAAGGTCCTGCATTATCCGCTTTTGACACTTGAGATAGGAAGAGCTGAGTTTCCTCTATGAGATACCACAGGAAAAGAGGAAGCCTGAGTTTATGAGACACTTTTAGCCATGGTTAGTCAAACATGGGTTACTGAATTATCTCACTTTCTAGGCTAAACTGGGAAGATTATGTTGGCATAATATGCTAGGCTAAAATGCAATTAGTTGCTTTGTGGTTCAGTGTCCACAGTGTATTTCTAGGAGAAGTCCCTGATATATAGACATAACATGACTTAATTAACCATAGTTAAACTATCCCACAATAGGATTCACACAATATGCTAAATTACAAATTAGCCAGGTTTCACAATTCTCTGAGAAATGACAGCACTGGCAAAGAGGATCTGAAAGCTATTAACTAGAAAAAGCCAGTTACTCAAAATAAATAAATGAAACACCCAAGCTGTAGAAGAAGCCTCAGAAAAGAGGAGGTAAAAAAGAAGCAGCAGCAAATGATAACCTGGAATAGGCACCAGCTGGTGGAAAATTTTGCCAACACTCCCCTGCCAATAATCTCTGCTCTCCCAGGAAAGGAAATAGTGCTCACACACCCTCCTCCTCCTCCTCCTCCTCCTCCTCCTCCTCCTCCTCCTCCTCCTCCTCCTCCTCCTCCTCCTCCTCCTTATCATCATCATCATCATCATTTAGTGTGTGATCATTCCGGGCCAATTCACTTGCCAAGTTCCATCGTGGAGAGGGGTGAGTGGGTGTGTGTGTGTGAAGAGACACAAGGTGGGAGGGGAAGCTTGCCCATCCCAAAGGAAAGCTGCAGGGGAGCAAAGGCTGGGCTGTGGTCTTCGGGACTTGGAGTCCGTGAGGTCAGTGGAAGTGCACGAAGGGTGGAGAAAAGAGTGAGCCCTTAGGTTATTTAAACTGGAACTGAACTTGAGTGAGGTTGGGCAACCTGATGCCCTCCATTTTGAAGGTTGGAGTAGAGGTACCCCAAACCCTAGTCCCAATCCCCTTTTGAGGTGAGGAGAGGGCAACCCAACAGGACCCCTCTCTTTTGATTGCTTTGAGCCTTCAGTCATCTCAGATCAGCCCCTTCTGTAGAGGAAAAGGGAGCATCTGAATTGACTTGGCAGGGGTGGTGCTGGGAGAAGAGGCGCTCTGCAGACGCTAAAATGGCTTATCACAGCCCCAGGCTACTGGGCTGGGAAGGATGGGAGTCAGTCAGCCCATCAATCCGGAGGACACCGATCCAGCAAACTACTCCATTTCCCATTCCCATTCGCTTCCTTCCCATCTCCACTTTCTGACCATAGTTGCCAAGATTAACAACTTGAACCGAAGCCTGTGTGTTCCCTATTATTAATGTGACAAGCAGGAAACCTGGGATTAGGGTCCGTGGAACTCCGATTTATTCCTGTGTAACCCTGGATTTAGGATTAGTGGTTGGTTTACTCACTGGCAAATCTCGCTAACTTCAATGGGACATGCAGGCCTGGTCAAAGGCGAAAAGTACAACTGTAAGCGTAGCCTAAAAGTAAAAGCAGTGACGTGACTGGAAGCGACGGACACTTCCCATGTATTTTATGTTGCTTCAGAGGAGGGAGGATTTGCGGATTTGGTCGGTTTGGGTGGCAACACCCGCCCAAAAGCCAGCCTGCCCACCGCCCGTCAGAATTTCCATAGACTTGAAATCCGGGCAAAACCCACATTTCAGGCTTTACAAAAGCGTTCGCTTCTGACCAAAAACCAGCCCACGACGAACAGCTTTAGTTATGCTAACTCGGAACGCGCCAGGTTTCTTTTTTGTTTTCTTTCTTTCCTCCAATTCGGGTGACAGAATGTACACGCAGGATCCTCATAATCTGCATTAAGCAGCGGAGGGGTGGGAAAGGGGGAGAGGAAGAACTCGGGGTGTAAATGACCTCATCTCCCAATACAGCGGAGTGGGCCGCGACTGTCATTTATAGGGACGAGCGTCTCTGAT